GGTGAAATAGGATTATCAACAGGTATGATGTAGAAGCAGGTGGACAGTGGCTGAGCAGAGCCCATGTAGAAAATGGGATAGGMAGGGTGTAAAGGTTTTTTTATACTTTTCTTCCTCCAGAATAACAACAAAAGAAAATAATGATGAAAAGCAGAACAGATTACCTAAGAAAGAAGTGCAAAGAAAGGTGATTGACTTCAGAGAAGGAAAAAATAGTGWCTTTTGCTTTGGAAAAAACAGTTAAGGATTGCAACTGTCAGAACAATAGACAGTATCAAATCTAATTAAGAAAAAATGCAGAACAACAGAAGTGACTTATGAAGGCAGTTAAGCAGAAGTACTGAAGATTCACGCTTTAAGACACATAAAATCAACCTTTGAAAAGATGAAAAAGGCAAGGCTGATAGGAATAGTGCAAAATGTTGAGGTGAGCGGGGGACAAGACTATTGCCAAAGTGTATAGTGAATTTTGTATACCTTCATTGTCATATAAATTGTCTGTCATGTACATAATGATCTAAAGAAAATGACATTATTGTTTCTGGAAATTTATGGGTGTTACTCTGGAAAGGAATGCATAAAGGGGAAAAATCACAACATTAGTCAAGGCAGTGAATAACGATGGAGAGAATATGGAGAGAACAATAAGAAGTATGGAAGTAACTGAATTCTGAGAAAYGAACTTGAAATGGTGAGGATAATATGTATATAAATCTAGAGAATAAAACATTGTGTTAGACAGCTGCCACATGTATGGTTTATTAAGTTGTGACTTGCTAACATATTTAGGAGGATGATAGAGAAATAGCTCTCAGAACTGTTGCTGGAACCTATGACATCAATAGAAAATGGCTCAGTAAAACAGGAATGAAATGAGAAGCATAAGAAAGTGAGAATGCTTTATGTTTGTGGAACATTCTCCCAAAATATAAGCTGGGCAAGAAAATGGTAGACAGTGGATAAATTTATTTTGGCCAGACTATAAAGGAAGTTTGGAGATTTTATAGCATAAATCCTGTCAGAAGGAAGTGAGGAGTGCTGCATRGAGAATATCTTCTTCTGAGTGAAACTTCTTTTTCTTATGAGCTGATCAATCAGAGTGCTTAAATGGATGGAGTGCTTAAATTAACACAATGAAGTGTAGAGAGAACTCACTTTCTTTTTTCTTGATTGCTATTTACTACCTTCTACACTTCTCTGAAARTGACAAAACCACTGGCAGTCAACAAGATGTACTTAATATGAACAGGGGAATTTATACAGAACATAAGCATTGACAGAATTTCAGAAATTCACTGGCTTCATAGTTGTATAGTACTAACTGTATAACTACTATTTTAATTTGAAGTTCTTACTAACTTAAAATTGAATAAGGATTATTTTTGTTCACATTCTGGGCTATATAAAAATAGGGACAATGACAGTAATATACTAGTCTAATTTTGGCATAAAATATATTATACAACTGTAATAAATATTTAATTGCAAAATGATATAAACTTTAAATTTATGGTTTTATCTAACTTGTCTCATTTGCAAGGAGRCAAGTTAAAGTGTTATAGGAGCTTTTTGGAAGGTTTCAGGACAGGACATATTWTACATGTGGAGTGATATACAGATTGATTCCCGTCAGTGGAGACTTTGGACTACAAAACCAGCTCCAAAGCTCTTTAGACAAAATATACATACATACAAATATAAGACATAAATGGCAGTGATACTCACAACTCTAGTATAGTTGAACCTACTGAAGTTTCTAGATGCTTWAAAATTTACTTTGTTCAAATGTCACAAACACTCGAAAATATGTTAGGAATTTTTACAGTGTTATACAGCATGACTACAGTATTGATACTAAGCAGGGTTATATTGTTTGTTCTTTCACCTCATGTTCATAGATTTTAATTGCCATCTTGCTGTGAAACAGATTTCTGGACAGTAATTAGTTATCTCCCTTTTTCAAAATGTTTTCCTCCTTACAAACATTAATGGTAAATTTTAACCAAGTGAACATTTCAGCTTTGAAGTAATTGCAAATCTAATTATGACATCAGATACTGAGAAACGTCATGTTTACAACATACATGATTAAAGGAGAGATTTTTWAAAGTATATTTTTTCTGGATAGAAATGGTTACAAAGCAGTAGAGTGTTAAACTATATCGGGACTCACTCTTCAAGTACCTTAATTAATGATTCATGCCATGGAAAACTTCATTCTTGCCTCAATGACCTTCTTCACAGAAGAATAATTTCAAATGGGGGATGATTTTCTTCAGGTAACAATTTGGGCAGTTCAGGTCTGTATGCTAACTCTCATAATATTTCTCTTTTTAATGGTTTGGATCATTATACATTTTTGCCAGGCTTATAATATTTTTAGAAACAAAAGCATATTGTAGAGAAGTACAGAGGAGATATTATTCTGAAAAGGTATTATCTTTAACAGCCTCCTTTTAATTACCTTTTAAATTTTTTTGCTTTCTTTAAGCTTTCTCAGAAAAAAAAAAAAAAACACCCCACATTATTATGTACCAGCATGTTCACTCAGTAATCTGTTTTTCCAATAAGCAGCAAAGCACAAACATGCCTGAGTTCTTCACTAAGATTATAGGCTAGTTGAGGTTCCAGATATTATTACTTAATGAAGGACAGTTCAACATCAAAATCAGAATATTTTGTCTGTAAGTTTCAAAACTGTTTACATTTGTTGATGCTTTTGAACTTTATAGAAACTTAATGGAATTTATATTCCAAACCACTCTGGTGTTTTAGAAAACACCTTCCATGATCAGTAAGTTAATGGGATTTAATGCAGTATATTAATTTTTCAATATAATTACAATCTTTTCTTATTAATTACTCCAAGCAGGCAGAGGAAGCATCCAGCTTGCTTGATAGCAGGCAAGTTGAATTCTGTGAGTAAGTCTTCCACAAATTCCCTTGGTGACGTTGGATTGTTACTGAACCGGCAGTTTTAAAAGCCAGCAGTTAAAGAGAGGTACTAAAAAACACTTCAAGGAAAGATTTACATGGCCTGTAGGAGGCTCTGAATCAGCCCACAAATGGCTGATTAGTAAAATGTGCTGAATACTTGCACTAACTGCTGAAGTCAGCAACAGATGGAGGAGYTGGCATCTGTGGACATAAGGCCACTCCTTCACATATCCAACTTTAGACTTGTAAGCATGAACATTTGAGCCTAAGCTTTACATTCCAACTTTTCAAACAGTAAAATAAGTCATAAGGGAAGTCTGTTCACACGTGTTGTAGTGGAAATGCTATTGGATTATTCCTACATCAGCTGTGTCACAGACAGCCCCACACACAAACAAATGCCACACAGACCCTTTGAGTGTCTGCTCCCCGGGCAGACTGGGGTCTCCCCTCCCACTCCACACCCAGCTTCCAGAACTGGGCTCCCTTTCTGAGCAGCAACCGCCTTTATTCCCAAACCACCACCCAAGATCCCAGCCTCCCTGCACAGCAATCTTGAACTCTGTTGTAGCTCAGTCRTCCCCTCAAGCATCTCCTAGCCTCCCTCCCAACGCCAAATTTCGCATCCAGTTCCATATCTGGGAACAGGAGAGCCATGCCATTGAGAAAAAGATTGCCAGGATTTTCATTGTAAGAAAACAATTTACTTAATTTTTTATAAGAGTAGGATTAAATAGGGTGAAATCTTCCTTTTCTTTCATACATATGTGGACACAGACAAATCCACAAAAATCTTGCAAAAAATAATGTTTTGTCCAGTGAATTCAAATGATACTAGAAATGGTATGTCTGGAAATAATACTAATATCTGCAACCATTAATCAAGGAATTTTGGGATTGGAAGACGGGGAAGGAGAGCTGGGCCTGGAGTTTAGAAAAYGTTTGGACTATTTGTGACAGAGAAATGTTAAGTAAGATGAACAGATGCACTGCCAGTTCTGCCTTTGAGGYAGAGAAACACATGCAAAATCATCAGAGAAAAACAGGTAACTCCAGTATTTGAATATTAGAATGYAGCAAATTAATGAATATTTCCCCAGAATATGATTAAAGCTTTAGTGGTAATTTGGAAACAACACCCAGCAGGAGTATTTAGAAGTGTAAATTGAGTACATACATATCACTAAAACATTCTGAGTATAACAGTATTTTAAAAATTTCAGTTCTAGTTGCATCAAAACCTATTTAATATTAATGAAATACTTGAAGTTTTTCTCTTCTTTTTCTTGTGCGCAATAGTACAACAAAACAAATGARTTTGCTAGGGCTCCATTTGAGTGCTTTGAAGAAACTGATATTATCTAGAACTACCTAATAAAACAGTGACTGCACATACAGTGCAAATAACAAGGTAAGTATTATATTGCCTTAATGCATAAGTAAAGAATCCATTTTCTGACCATTTGCCACACAGACCATTTGCCTAATGAAATCAGCCTTCCTTCCTCTTCAAAGTACTGCTTTGTATTACCATGGCTGGATGAAAATATCCTTTTCACTGCCTCAAACCACTGTCTCTCCTTACCACAATGCTCAAGCATAGTGGAGAGTCAGTCATACAGCCAGCCCGATGCTGAAATTAAAAATTCCATTGCATTCTCTGAGTGAAATGTTCCACAACTGAATTTTGTGCAGTAGGCAAAATGATATTAAACTCATATGCTGAATTCAACAGGGATATGCAACTGAGCAGTTTGCTTGTATGCACTCATTGAAAGAGAAAAAACAAGGCTCCATGACATAAACAAGTTTTGCCCACAATTACACTGGTGGTACATGTRCAACTACTGGGAAATCCCTACATAAAGATGGAGAGGCTACATTCTGACCTTTTTGGGCACCTGCAATCTGAAAGCAATGGYGTCATAGCAATTTAATACAGAAGAACAAGTGTATTTGATTCCAGTATTAGTATCTGACAGTCCATATGCAAAATTATATAGGTTTTCTCAAGAATTTTTAGTGGATTTATTTTTTCTTTCTTAAATTTAAAATTAACAAACCTTGCCAGTCAGCTTTGAAAGATCATCTCCTCCCATTATCTGCATATCTTGCATAGACTGATCATTCTGAAAGAAGAAAGATAAAAACTTTGAAGTTGGTTATAACTATATAAAATAAAACTATAAATGTTACTTTTCTTGTAAGTCTTGATTATTAGTCTTGGTTACTAATATTTTCTAATGCTTATTAGTGTTGGTGTACAAGAAAAACACACTCTCAGTTCTTCCTGGGTYTTCCTTCATCTTCTGGTTGTTTGTAAGCTAACATCAAACTCTAGGCTTTATTGAACTAGAAAATGTTGCACCTTTATTTTTAAAATAGTGCTCCCTTGCTTGCTACTTCTTAATATGACAAATGTTGAGTAACGCATTTACCCCTTTCAGARTGGGAGGACAGGAGCATCTCAACACTTGATCAAACACCTGTAAGCGCATTCTTGGTTTGGCACAGTTTTTGGAAACAAAGGCTAAATGTGCTTACATCACAGCTCTTTTTGAAGGAATTCACTCAATTTTCTTCAAGGGAAAAGAAGTTTTGYAAAATTTGTCACCTGTTATCAAAATTATTTTCAGTGTGCCTTACAGTTTCCAGTTTTCTTTGTTAATTCTTTTTCAACTGAYTCAAAGATATACTAATTGAGGTCAATTACTAAATATTGCCAATCAGTTTGAACTAAATGCAACAGAACATTATGTTTTGATTTTCCTATTAAAAAGAGGAGCTTTTTAAAAAAAAATCAGTAAAAATTCTTTGATGCATTTTTACAGACACTTCTAGTTGAAATTCATTCTGATGGAAAATACTCAACCAGTTCTAGCTCCAACTCATTATCAGCAGAACACGAAGTTAAGCTCACGTAAGGGAGACACATGGAAGCCCTGCTTTCAAGGGAAGACAAAAGAGGCCTTAAAGAAGGTAGCAAATTAAAAAATACATGGTCATGGCTATATAAGCTTTTCAGAAAAAGCAAGAGCAAAAATAAAGATAGCTGATGTGGGTTTTTTGCCAAACTGATGCATGTGCTAATCTAATCTCCCTACCCATAGGAAGATAGCATTAGTCCAATTTTAATAATAGSTGCAGTACCACAATGTGACACTGGTTTATGGGTAACACCAGGAAGCTTTACGATTACAAATAAACGGTTACGACTACAAAAACGCCATACTTGAATACTATGCTTTTATTTCATAAATCTGGTGCTCTGAAGTCAAATGTTTTTCCAYGGGTAAAAAGTGGCACATCAGGACCTACAAGCAGGTGAGGATCTACTGGACAAAGGGATTTATACCTCTTCTTCTGCTCCTCCCAAAGCAGGAAAGCAGAGGCTGCACTGGGATGGTCAGAGCTGCCCCACTGTGCAGATGAACCGCACATCCCATGCTCACAGCCAACATGGCAGAACTTCAGGGACTTCCAAGCACCTTTACAGATACCTGATCACAAGCAATCTGGAACTATTTGTGGTCCTCATGAGAATGGATTGTCTAAATTATTCTCTAAATTCATTCAGCCTTCCTGAATAACTGTAAGTAAAGATTGTAGAATTGCCCACRTGAAAATTTCTCCAAGTTTGCATTCCACAGACCCACCAAATGGCTCCCTGGCTTTTACTCAGACTCCACGCAAAACTCTCATACCACAAATTTGTTAAGAGGTCCTTAGCAGTCATTGCTTTAAAAGACAGTTTTTAGACCTGCCTTCACTTCTTCTGCACCGGATCTGGGAGCTTTAGATAAATTTCATGCCGCTCTGATCCGTTTCCTGGGAAACAGAGCTAGAGCAGCAATGAAGGTTACATCCCATATATTTTCTAATATAAGTTTCAATATTTCTTTTACTTTTGTAAGGAAAAACAGAAAAAAAAAGCCCAAACAACAACAAAACAAGCAACTGACTTCCTCAGAAAAGTATTTTAAAACTAAATAAAAAATGGAGATTGAGAAGATTTTAAGTTCTGGCTTAAAAGCTTAAGTCTTTTGTTGTAAAGAAAGGCAGGTCACTCTTCAAAAGTCAGRGATGTATTCAAGTCAAGACTATAATAAGACTATAAAAAGCAGATTGTTTCTAATATCAACCACAGCAYGTGTAACCAAGGCACTGACAAAATATTTTTTCATTTCCAAATGGGAAAGTGTGGAATTTCATTAGCAACCAGCACACAAGAATTACTGAAGAGGCAGTTTGCCCTTAGCTGCTAGTTGAAAAAGAGAGAAAGAAAATAGATAGCAGTGAGGTGCAGTGATTAATGAATTTATTTATTTTTCACTTTAAAAAAAATCTCTTTCAACAGTATTCACAGCAGCACTGTTTCCTTTGCATTTGGTATTTCTGGCTTCAGCTGAAAGGAAGATGCTGAAATAGCATCTTCATTGCTGGCAAGCAGCTAAGCAAACAAAAAAGCCATTGAGAGCAGAGGGATCACAGCATCCCGTCAATCTCCGCATTCACACATCGGCCGTTGGGACACAACTGCACACATTTATGAAAATCCTGGTGTTCTGACTGGAGAATCAGTGCAGTCAGAGGACAAGGCTGAGTATTCACAGTGCCTAAAAACTATATAGTTTTTTATATGGTTTTTCTATATGCCGCTCAGAACCCTCCAGCCAAAGTATTTTCAAAAAATTTAAAGAAATTCCTTGCATTGCACTGGAGAGCAATTCTCTTGCTAAAAAAAAAAAAATAAATTCAGATCATTTATTTTAATGCATTTGTAACTATCTACATTCATCATTTAACTCATGTGGTAAAATACATACCTGCCAAACAGCAAGGCTCAATACGACGGCGTGACATTACCRTGATCCTAATGTTCACATAGATAATTTGCACACTATGGTTGCCATAGGAACCTCCCAGTGCATTTTTCTGAGTTCTCAGTTTATAATCTCAAAATAACACTGCACTAAATGTTAAGTATAAAGTACAATGAATGCCAGGAAAGAAAAAAATCTGTTTCATTCAGCACCAATTAATGTCAATTCAGAACTGTTTGTTTAATTTTCATAGTCTCAAGTCATTCAGAGCTTCTTTCTTTCTTTGGGAGCTKCTCCAACTGATACAATTGAGTCTCTGAGATTTATAAATGCAGAAATAGAAACTGAAGCTTCACTTCCTGTCACCCAAAGTWCCTCTCTAAAATCCCTAAACCCTATCAACTATTTTTTAAAAAAATATTTTATACATTGACTCAGATGGAGACAGYTCTAAATCTGTTTTGGTTAATGTAACACAAAATTTATTGCAGCTGTTTCTGACAAGAAAATGCATTGTGTCACATCCCCACACCTTATCCCAAGCTATATTTAATACTACATTCCTGAATTTTTTCTGTGCTTAATATATCTGCATTTTCCAGGATAAATCTCAGTTTCTTTGGTTTTAATTGTTGTTTTGTGCTTTTTCAGTTGTTAATCTTTATTTTATAATTTTATTTCATTCTAGGAATACTTGCTGAATTAAAGCAAGAAAGTTATTTCCACCACAATTTTTCATGGCACACAAGATAAAASTTTTGCTTTCTATGTAGATTTCTATGTAGAAGTATACATATTTAAATTCCATCTATACTAAGTCATGTGTTTTGAACTGGGTGGGGCACAGAATTATTACATCTCTTTTACATCTCCTGAGATCAACATTTGGACATAGTTCAAGTTACAAGTGAAATGAGTTGGGTGGTCTCAGGAAAATTCATTATAAACAGCATTGCTCATCTGAAAATTGCACCAAACTGTGAACATCTGTTACTCTTCTAAAGAAACAGAATCTGGAATACATTAATACTGAGCTCAGTGAAACAAAGATTCTTTAATCATGGCAAAAAAAAGTAGCTTTAACAAAACCATTTAAATGCATAACTAAATTATGAAATATGCACATAAGTTCATTATCACACATCTAATTATAACAGTCTGCAGARTTTGTATGGAATTTCTTTGAAAATGTCATTATTTTCTTCTCCCAAAATTCATTCAGGGAAACTCAAAACAAAAAAGAATGTGGCCATCAGGCCTGTTCTATTTTGCTTTTGTCCCCTTGGGTGGTACAGCAGATCCTCCAACCTGAGAATTACCATTAGGACAACTCTTTCACACCACAGCATCATTCCATCTCCTATAAYTGGGTTTTCCAGGAAGGTTTTGACCAAAAAGAAGTCAGTGACAGACCATTCAGTTGTCCCTTGGATCTTAGTGTGAAACCAATTTGCTTTGCAACCTGCCTTCGAGAAATACTTCCAAAGATGAATATGTTGGTTGTGGAAATGTCAAGATGGCATCTATATGATCTGCTGAAACCTATTTTGACTAATAGGTAAAGCCAAACTGATATATAAAGTGTAGGCTATGAAATACCCTAAGTGAAGCAGCTGAAGTTGTAATGTATGAGATACTGTACTTCGAAGCAACATACACTTGAATCAATACAATTTTGGGTTTCTTGTCTAAAGAGCAACAGCTAAGAACAGAAGACCTCAAGGGTGTAGAACATAAGCTGTCACAGTTTTCATGGAAGGCAGCTAGAAGGACTATCCAGGCTTAAGAACCAACATTCAGAGGGCAACTAGTAAGTACTGTTAAGCTGGAGACTTGTGCAAATGAGTGGGAACGATATGGATCACTTCCCAATAAAGACTGGAAAGTTTGCCTTCCCTTCCCCAGAATCAAATGTATACYAAAGGCCAGACTGCAACCTCCGGAGTAACACCCACATTCAAAACAGTCAAGTGCCAGGTCACTGATATATTTTTAAGAGGTGCCTTGAATACCTTGCAAACAACCCAGCAATGCTGAGCCAGTCAGGAATCAAATCCAGTAAACACCCACTGCCAGAACATCCCCTTTCCTGCAGGGAAGTATAGGTACATGTGCACTGAAGAACTGACAGCTTTGTACATCTCTGTAAGCTTCAAGCTGCCCTGCTGAGCTGACCACACTACTGACTGTGCTGCACTGAGATTGGCTATTGCCAGAATAACAGATGACAGCAAATTTTAAACTGGTGTAGGTATATATCTAGCAGAGTTCTAATTACCACAGTGTAAGACATATTTTACTTCTGT